AGTGCCTCCTTGATCTCCGGGGCGTGAACGCCGGGCTGCTTTACCGGTTTCTGGCTGGAATTCTGACGCGGCATTGCCACTCCACCTCCGCTGCTTTCGAACAGCTCTCTTAACTGCTTACCGCGCTTGCTCCTAGTGCCAAAGGGAAGAAGGGAACTTGAGAGTTCGTGTCGCAACAAGCGTGAACCCCCCCCACTCTTGTGAACTAGGGAAAAAATGCACACTGCCAAGCTGACCAAGACATCGGAGCACAAATCATGGCCACGATGATGACTACAAAAGCTTCACATACTCTCAAGCAAATGAAGAAAGAATACCCGTCTCTGGGCTGCTATTCATGGTCAGCACCTGGGCAAGGGAGTGAAACCCATTGGAAACGAAAAACAAAAGCAACCCGAAGCAAATAAGGAGCGGATGCCACTATAGAGATCCTTTAGAGGTGAAGAGTGGTAGGTCCATCAGAACAATAATCATTCTCGAGCCGCTGCAGCCGCAGTCCGCACGGCATACTTTGCAAAGTGTACCTTTGATTCCATCACAGGCGAATAAATATTGTGTTCATTGATGTTCTGGACCTTATCCAAGACCTTGCTACACTGCCCCAGATCTCCGTCAAAAAACGCCAAGCATGCCTCTTCGTACAGCATCTGCGGCGTCATCCATGAAACAGTGGTGCTGCGTCCCTTGAAGCCGCGTGCCAGGGGCAAAGCCTTCTTCAGCAAAACACGTGCATCATCCCGCCTCCCGCTCATCTGGCAAAACATGATCGCTTTGATAGACGTCAGCACGGCAACCTTGCAGTTGTCCAGTGAGACAGTAGTCACCATGGAGCAGTGACTTCCGTCCTCATTCTCCATGTTGCGTGCCAGTGAGCTGGAAAGACTTACGGCGTCCTCTCCCAATACCTGATCGAGAATCCTCAGCAAGGCCTCCAGGGAGGAGTCTGAAAGTTGGTGCAGTACGTCAAACAGAACAAAGAGCTCCAGCATAGCCAGCGGCACCGTGTTGCGCAGCACAGCTCCTTTCGGCGGCCAAGACGCATCGGCGGCAACATTTTTCTTGTTACCTGGATTGGGATGCCCCACGCCGCCTTGATGGAATATTTCATTTAGCCTGGTGGCGACAAATTTCTCTATCGCGACTGCTCTGCCCGCTCTGCGCGTCACACCGTAGTGCGCGGCCCGCCAGAATGCCCGGGTTGCCTCTTCACCGCACTCCAGCGCTGCTTCTTCGTCCCCATTGGCGGCCTCGAGAGCAACCATCTCGTAGCAGCAGCCCTGCACGTACGCGTAGAACATCTTCGACCACGCTGACCTTTCCTCAAGGAGCGAGTGACAAGAGATGCAGTCTTTCCAACGCATCGATGTGGCGTGGTTCCACGCCTGATCATAGAGGGCGAAGTCGCGCAGCTGAGGCATTGCCTGCTCAAGCTGGGCACCCCTCGTCACTTCTAGGCACTTGGAGAGAACCTCGGTGCTGACATCAATATCCCGCTCGAGACGGCGAATGCGTCCCACCAGCCACAAGTGGAGCACAGAGACGTCCATGGGCGGATGGCTGAGCACCTCCTCTGCCGTCTTCTTCGCAAGTGGCAGGCACATCGGGACAAGAATTGAACNCCAGCCACAAGTGGAGCACAGAGACGTCCATGGGCGGATGGCTGAGCACCTCCTCTGCCGTCTTCTTCGCAAGTGGCAGGCACATCGGGACAAGAATTGAACAGAATCCAGGAAGCATGCTGTCGATAAGCATAATAAAAATGCCAGCAAGCGGTGACAGAAGCGACCCACTCCGCCAGCACTTCAATATGAGTTCCGTTCCAAGTTTCCCGTCATGCGCAAACCCCAGGAAACTGAGGACGCGCATTATACTGGGAGGAAGGATAGACATGACCACGTTGGTGCAGCCATATCCAAACATCACACTGTACACACTGTTGCGATCCAATCCAAGCTCATCGTACGAGTCCACCCCTTTTTCCTTCCTTAGCCCCTCGATATCCCCCTGCATAGACTTAAATAGATGACAGCTCTTATTGAGGGACAGACCGCCTTTGATCACCCCGCTGAGTGAGCTCTGTTGCAGAAGCAACACAAAACCCCGGAGAGCATAAACTTCTGCCAGAACTGTTTTGGCGCGGAATTCGCCCGGCAAAATCTTTTTCTTCGCTGCTGACTTGCCAAACATACTACCCATTCTTTGAAGGAACCCATTTCCTCTGGGAGCCAATTCCTCAGCAAACGTGATTGCAAAGGCGGTTTTCTCCAGCGCAATTTTGGCATCATTCTCATCCA